TGGGGGGGCGCCTGCCGGCGGGGTCGGGCTCCTGGCCGAGCTCCATTTACCGGAAAAAAAGTCGAGGCCCGGCCCGAGGTCTCCAGGGAGGTCTGGGAAGGGACCCCAACACCGGTTGGATGCTGGGCACCGGGGCCCGGCTCAGATGCCCCTGCCCAGGAGCAGCCTGCCCGGCGCAGCAGTCGGCCCGGCCCCGTGTCCGTCACAGCCGATCAGCGCGCTCCCTCTTAGCCCAGGTTTTGATGGAGGGCTGGCGGGTCCCTTGGAGACCCGCACCCAGGCCAGGCCCGCTTAGCTGGCAAGAATCTCATCCCCAGGCGTTGCCCGGAGGTATCCCTCGTGGTCAGGGTTCCCTCCCGCCACTGAGTGCTTGCTGTATGCCAGCCAAGGGAAAGCACTGAGTGCTTGCTGTATGCCAGCGAAGTGCTTTCCCGGCTTCTCGTTTTATTGTCAGGGCAGGTGTGGTCGGTTCCCTGACCGTAGATGAGGAAACAGGAGCATGGATACCTCGGGTCATTTTCTGGTGCTTCTCACCCAGGGAACCCTCATTTCCAACCAGGGCCGGGCGATGCGTGTGAGGCACCCGGGTGCACGGTCTGAGACCCCACTCTCCCTGGGGTGCAACAGCAGGGTCACCGGGTTCCTCAGGCCTCGGGTTAAACAGCCTGCATCACCATCACCACGAAGCCCTGAGGCCGTTTCAAATCCTAGGTCTGTGATGGGGAAGCTGAGGCCTCTTGGCCTCAGTCCCTGGACAGCCAGTGAGCCCCCACCCCCCAGGGTGGGCCGAGTGCCATGGGGCAGGCCAGGGGCCAAACTCAGGGTGAGAGCAGGGGCATCAGCGCCCCAGAGTCTGAGCCCCTGGTGGGGATTGGCAGATGGGCTGGGCTGCAAAGACGGTCACGTCAGCGTCCATTCTCAGCAGACTGGCGGCCTCCGCTTGACATGGGACGTCAGCACTTATGTTAAAAATAATGGGCCTGTCACATGCTAGGGAGACACGGGTCCTGCTGGAGAGCAGCCCTTGAGGGGGTGTTCGCAGGCCCTGCTGCCCACCTGCTCCTTCCTCTCCCCCTGCCCTTGGGAGGTCAGCCGTTCCTAGAACAGCCAGGGTGTGTGCTCGGGTTTCCTTGGTGGGAGCCGGATCGTTGTGGCAGGAAGGAGGCTGAGAGTGGGCAGGTCTCAGCAGAGCCTCCTCGTCCCTCAGGAGACCTCACCTTTGCCCTGCTTGTCCTGACATCCTGGGTCATGAGGCGGAGGACAACTGGGGACTCACCGGGGGGAGGAGGGAGTCATGAGCTTGGAGTGCGGCCAAGCAGGTGGTCAGCCTGGTGTCCGCCCACCCGTGTGTGTCAGACCTTCTACCAGGGGTCCTCAAACTTTTGAAACAGGGAGCCAGTTCACTGTCCCTCAGACCGTTGGAGGGCCGGACTATAGTTTAAAAAAAACATATAAACAAATTCCTATGCACACTGCACATATCTTATTTTGAAGTAAAAAAACAAAAAGGAAACAAATACAATATTTGTATTTGCACGTGGCCCGCGGGCCGTAGTTTGAGGACCCCTGTTCTAGGCCCATGGTCGGCAAACTGAGGCTCTCGAGCTACATGCGGCTCTTTGGCCCCTTGAGTGTGGCTCTTCCTAAGCCTTAGGAGTACCCTAATTAAGTTAATAACAATGTACCTACCTATATAGTTTAAGTTTAAAAAATTTGGCTCTCAAAAGAAATTTCAATCATTGTACTGTTGATATTTGGCTCTGATGACTAATGAGTTTGCCGACCACTGTATCTAGGCCATTCTGAGGTGGGGCTTGGCACAGTGGATGTGTCAGCTGGTGGGGAGGGGGGTGTTGGGTGACACAATCCATTCCCCCACCAAATTCCTGGTTAAGGTCTGAAGGGTCCAAAAGCAAGCTCAGAATTCATTCGGGATCCATAGGATAAATGGGAGTCAGAGGATACCAGCCCCCCTGTGCCAGCCGCGGGTGCCCACTGTCCCTTCCCTGGGCCTGCAGCCCTTTGCCAGAGTTGCACATGTCCTGCACGTGGCGGGTGTGTGAAGCAGTGGCCACCCTGGCCCTGTCTCAGCTGCCACCAGCCTTTCCTCACGTGCACTCTTTCCCCAAGGCCTCCCGGGACCCTCCTGAGCCAGGCCCTGAGCACATCGGGCCTGGCATTCTGTTTGCACAAAACGGTCGCCCTCATTTTGCAGATGAGGAAACTGAGGCAGGCAGTGAAATACGGTCCTGAAGCTGCAAGCCTGACTCCACCGCACAGCCCTCTGCCCGCTCCTAATTCAGACGCTTTATTTTGTTCTTTCCTGTAACAGCTTTCCCGCAAACTGGGGCTGAAAAAGCAGCGGCTTCTGGGGGCAGAGCAGCATCAGAGCCCACCAGATGGAACCCCGACACCCTCCCCCAGGGAGCCCCGCCTCGGTCTGCCCAACACCCTGGGTCCCCAGCGCAGTATCTATTTCTCAAGCCCAAGAGACCCCCCTGCTCGACTGGGACTGGACTTCTTCGACCAGCCTGCAGTCCCCCTGGCCCGGGCGTTTCTGGGACAGGTAATGTCGACGTAGTGGCCATCACCACGCAGCGTCTGTGGGCACCAGACCTGTCGCCACCGGGCCGGCGTCCCTGACCTGGCCCTGCTGGTCCTCACACAGGTAGCTGCTTAGCCCGCACTGGTAGCTTCGCCTCAGTCGTCTGGGAGGGGGTGGGTCCGGAACCAGTTGGGAGGAATGCTGAGATTGTGAGGACACTGGCCTCCACCTGGTATTGTCCTCAGGGCAGGTTTCTTTCAAGTGCTGGCCCCGGTGTGTGTCTGTGGGGGGCTGACTTTGTCCCCCCGCCGTCCCCTGACACAGTGCCCCTCTGTAGCTTGTCTGTCTGTGTAGTAGTGAGAGCTTTTAGCCACATGAGAGCAGTGGCCATGGCCTACGGACTGCCCAGTGTCAGGATTGCCTTGACACAGCTTCCTGCTCACCACAGCAGCTCACAGTGCGACTGCTGGCTCCCCCGCGACCCCTGTAGCTCAGAGCAGGCTCAGGGTCTAGACCGGGAAGCAGGGATGGTGCAGGGCCCACGTGCCAGCAACAGCAGAGTTTGGGCCGCATCTGTCGAACACCATCGGGGTGCTGTTCCTGGCTTTCTGGTCCTCTTCGCGATCCCATGAGACTACCTTTAGGTTACAGTGGCCAAGTGGCTCCGTTTCTGTGACAATAGAAAAAGGCACCAGGCGCTGGGTGCTGAAAGGACACTTCCTACAGAGTGAGCTAGTGGAGTGTAACCTAAAGCAGGACTTCGTGGTTACGGGCCAGACCTGTCTTTCAGCTGCAGGGGCCAAAAGGTCCTTCTCAAAGAACCCTATGTAACGAGGGTTTATGCTCTCACATACCGTGGCTCATGGGGTAGAGGAGTCCCTGCATCAGGTCAAGGGCCTAAGGGCCTCAGCGTGTCAGTTTCCCTCAGGCCCCCATCATGCCCACTCGAGCCCGAGGGTAGAGAGGGCAGTCTCCAGCGGAGGAGGGTTTCGCACTGTGTCCTTGTGGCCAGGGAGGACAGCCTCTCACAGCCTCCCAGTGGATGTCCTTGCAGACCACTGGGCCAGGCTCGGGTCACCCCTCTACAGGTCACTGCAAGGAGCAGTGAGTTGCCATGACACCCAGACCACCCTCAAGTCGCCCTCTTGTCTGAGAAGGTGTTGCCTCCACCAGCAAGGAGATGTGTTTGTAATGGGCATGGGAGGCAACCAACATCTACTATCTGGAAATGTTATCAGAATGAAATTCAGGGTGGAAAATTCAAATTAAAAAACCACAGTGAGAAAAGAGCCATGAGATGCTCCCCTCCCAAGGGCAGGCACCCCGTTGGCCTCGGGAGGTGTGGAAACAGGGGGGCGAGGCTCATGGAGCAATGCCCCCTTGATCTCCTGGGGGGATGGAAGTGAGGCCTCATCTGAGATGGAATGGGATTTCCTCTTCGTCCTGGAGATGGGCTCCCAGGGGAGGCATCGACCCCCTTCTTTCCTCCTCTGTCTCAGGAAGGCCTCCTCCAACACTACCCCAGAGTGTCCAACTTCAGCGCTCGCCTCCCTGTCCCATGACACGGATCCTGGCCGCAGACACACTGGGCTCCCTGGGCTAAGGCAGGGGTGTCCTGGCTGTCCAACTGACTGCTCTGGCCCAAGGACAAGGCCGGTGCTGGGCACGTCCCTGGGGAGGTGGCTGCCCCCAAAGCCCCACTGTGAACCCTGGTTGAGTCAGGCCTGGACCTTTGGACACTGGGCCATACTGTGCTGCCCAGCCCAGAAGCAGTCCCCTCCATAGGGCAGAAGGGCCCCAGCTGGGGAGCATTGACGCCGCATGCTCAGCACTCCGCAGGTCTGGCTCCCCTGGGCGGCACTCCTAGGTGCTCCGCTGGCCTGAGAGCACCCGCTGCCCCCCCACCTGTCCCCCCCTCCCGTGAGAATCCCTGGCAACTGCCCCTGTCCTCGGCTGGCCCCTCTGGCCCCTCCTGGCCCTACCCCTGCCCAGGGCACTGTCCAAGCCAACTGCAGCCAGGCTCATCTTCCTGGCCCACTGCCCACACTGACCCCATTCCTTGTGGAGCTGGCTACACCCAGGCCATGGTTCAGCCAGGAGCACAGCGGGCAGCCAGTCCTGCTGCTCAGAAAGGCCTTTCAGCTGGTGGCAGGAGCTGAGCGTGACAGTACTTGGTGTTTAGTCCACAGGCAGCCATGGTGGGGCAACACTGGGGTGTCCTCCATGCTGCCCTGCCCCAGCCTAAGCATGTAAGTTCAGGGGGATCCTGGGGAGGAGGAGGCAGTGCAATGGGGGGCCTGAGAGGACATGGAGGGGTGAATGCACTAGTGCTGGTTTGCAGCCCAGCCAAGGCCAGAGCTTGAAATGGCTGCAACCTATGGACAAGACACTCAGTGAACAAGGTCTGTTGTCTAGAGGTCCGCCAAGACAGAGGGACATTGGAGGGAAACTGGCTGGCCCTGGTGTGCCCAGAGCTAGGGAGGTGCGGTCCAGGCTGTGGACTGTCAGGTGGAGGGAACCACCCTTCGTGTCCTGAGCCGACACTGGTGCCCACAGGTCTTGGTCCGGCGACTCGACGATGGCACAGAGCTCCGTGGCCGCATTGTTGAGACTGAGGCATATTTGGGGCCCGAGGATGAAGCTGCCCACTCGAGGGGTGGCCGGCAGACCCCCCGCAACCGCGGCATGTTCATGAGGCCGGGGACCCTGTATGTGTACTTCATCTATGGCATGTACTTCTGCATGAATGTCTCCAGCCAAGGTGAGCAGTGCTGGGGGCTGGAGCAGGAGGCCTGGACACAGCCCCCTCAGCTGGCAGCTGGCAGACCCCTGGGAAGACCAGGGTAGGGCAGGTGTTTGAGCAAGGAGGTGCCATTCCTGGGCTAGGTCAGGGTTCAGGAGCTCTGGCCGTGGTCACAGGGTGGTCAGAGGGGCTGGGGACCCCCATGAAAGAGGTCATGGGTTGACCCGAACACATAACACAGGTTCCATGAGGCCACCGCTGGCTCCAGAGCTCTAGAGGTCATGGGTTGACCCGAACACATAACACACAGGTTCCATGAGGCCACCGCTGGCTCCAGAGCTCAGATGTGGTGTCACCAACAGGCCAGGGTAGACTCGGGAGGGGCTGGTTGTGGGAAAAGGAGGGTGAAATCTGTTTGAGTTGAGCAGGGCTCTGGCAGGAGCCTTGCCAGGCGGCCAGTTATGGGGTCTGAATCAGTTCTCAACCGGGGGTGATTCTGCCCCCCTGGAGGAACACTAGGCGTTGTCTGCAGGCATTTTGGGTCATCACGGCTGGTGGGTTGGTGCTGAACAGCTCACAATGCCCAGGAGAATCACAAAAAACCATTCACCCCAATGTCAGTGCCACGGGGGGAGATGCTGGACTAGGCTCCCAGAACCCACTCAGCTCATGGGACCTGTCTGGGTGGCCTCTGTGCTTTGGGAGCAGGTGGCTTTGCTTTCTGGGTGGTCTGTGCTCAAAAGACAGAGCCCACAGCACCATCTTATCAGAGCCACTGCTGACAGGAGCAGGGTCTGCCCAGCCCACGCTGGCTTCCAGTCCCTGCGTCTGTCTGCCAAGCCTGATGCTGGTCCCAAGATGAGCGAATGCTTGAGGCCAGTGGGGACGGGTTTGCTGTGCTGTAAGTCAGACACATTTGTTGAATGATTCCAGGGGCGTGGGAGCTGTGAGTGCCTAGAGGGCAGCTGCAGGTGTTCGTTGCCAGAGCTGCAAGGGCATGAGGACTGGATAACCCGCCGCCCTGTGCCTGGCACAAAAAGGGTGTTGAGGGAAACAGTGGCTGGACATCAGGATGGCGGGGAGCACCCCCAGGGCCGTTTCACTCTGGAGCTTATTTTGGTCGTCATGTGAGGTGGGGCTGAACTCAGATTAGGAGGGAGACTGAGTCCAGAGGTGTCTGGGGCTGTGGTCAGCAAGGGAGGGAGGAGCCAGGGCTTCTGAGGGTGGGCAGGGCAGATGTGGGAGGTGGCGTTATTACTTTCTGGACACATGACCAACATGCCCCAGGAACACCTAGTTCAGGGGAGCAGCAAACCACATGGGTACAGAGTCAGGGCCAAAGGTTATCCAGGTGCATCAAAGGAGAGGGGGCCAAGGTCAGCTCCATGCCTGCCTGCCTGCCCTCGGGGTGGATGCAGTGCAGAGATGACCAGGGGAGCAGTTGGGGGGGGGGGGGGGGGCAGGGCCGTAGCTGCCCCCTGGTTGTCAGTGCGCTCCCACAGAGGAAGCACTGCTCAGCCACAAGCCAGGCTGATGGCTGGCGAGCGCAGCAGCAGTGGCGGG